TAGAAGAGGAACCTGATATCCATGTAACCATGATAACCATGTAAAACATATTAAGATAGGACGTCTGAGGTGGATAGGATATGTAATGCGGATGGAACAAAATGATTCAGCTAGAAAAACGCTCTTTGATAGACCTGTTGGTCAGAGCAGTAGAGGAAGACCTAGAACAAGGTTCCTTAATGACATCGATGAAGACATGAGAAATATGGGAATACGTACTTGGTGGTAGGGACACAGAATACTAATCACAACAAGAAGCGAAACAGAGGGCTTTTTCGCAATCCAAATTTCTTTGCGCATGTGCGAAATCGGCCATAGTGTTAGTAGTGTTGATGCGATGCCTTGTTTGTTTATATATTGAGAAGTGTTATTGTATTGTATTGAGAAGTTATTTAGTTAGTTATTTAGTTAGTTAGTTAATTTAATATATTTGTGTAATAAACTTATTGTGATGGCTGCACGAAAGGGAGGATTTTATTGTGTTGTTCGTGGATGCCCATCGAAAACTGGGGAAGGAATTAGTCTCTTTTCAATACCGACTGATCGTAGCAGGTAAACAAATTAAATTTTAAATTCAAACGTATTACAAATGCTGTCTGAATGTTTATATTTTAGTTAAATACACTTTTTTTTAGAGCTGAATTATGGCTGAAAGCGGCCAATAGGTATGATCTGCTTTCCAAGGCTGCTGAATTGCATACTAATTATAGAATGTGCGAGAAACATTTTGAACCGGTGTACATGTACAAAGGAAACACGGAAGTATTTATTTCAACAAGCACATCCAACGATTTTCTCACACAGCCAATATTCAAAACACACAGACGAACCATTAAAGAAAGTCATAAGGCTGGAAGGTAGATACTTTTTATTTATTCACAATTATAGTGCTTTATTATAAAAGTCATATAAAAATCAGTATCTACTTACAACTATATACAAAGTTGTTTGTTGTTTTTCATAATATAAACAAGATCTGGAATTGTGAAATTTAATGATCTTTTATCAGCCTTATTAAGAACATAATATATCTTATGGTTACATACTGAGTAATATTTATGTCGTGGTTTTAGGTACCACTGAAACCTATAATGTACAGGAAGTAATTAATAATCCAACTGATAAAAACCATAATACTGTACCTGATACTTTGATGGAAGAGTTTCTGGTAACAGGTAATTTTATTTATTGCTACAACTGTATTATGCATTCAACTAATCACTAATAAGCATTAACATATCTACTTTGAACGTTTATATGTTTATGGTTATTAAATATATTTTTATATTTCAGATGTTAATAGGCAGGAAGTGTCTAGCCCACCTAGGCCCCATACTCCAGCTCCATTTTTCACAGCTGCAACACAAACCCCCTCCAAGTTGTCGGGAGGTACACCAAGAAAAAGGAAACTTAGATTGAAAATAAAAAAATTGCGTGCAAGTGCAAAGAAAGCATATGTGTCTTCCAAACAGAAGGAAGACAATAAATCTTTAAAAAAATTTTTTCAAATGTGTGACAAATTTTTAAACAAATCCCTAGCACAAATAGTGAAAGCTCAAGCAATTTTAAAAACTAAATGTCCAAAAAGTAGAAGGTATTCTGATGAATATAAACAATTTTCATTAACACTATATTTTTTGGGCCCAAGAGCGTATGCTTTTATGGAAAGAATATTGTATTTGCCCTCAAAACGAAGTCTTTGAAATGAAATGTCTATTAAAAGTAATTTATTTTTTGATACAGGTCGTGATGAGATTGTTGGTCTATATGATATAGGAAATGGGAAAAAGGAATCAATAATTGCACAAAATGTACTTGTGATAATGGTTCGAGGCTTATATTCAAATTGGAAACAACAACTAGCATATTTCTTTGTAAACACTAAATTTGAAGCAACTCATCTTCTTCCTATTATAAAAGAATGTATTTCTAAACTATTTCAATCAGGTTTATATGTGAATTGTCTTGTTACTGATATGGGAACGAATTTTCTAAAATTGAGTAAATTACTGGGGATTTCTCCAACTAACTCAGAATTTGATGTCAATGGACAAACAATTATTTATATATTTGATCCATGTCATTTAATTAAAGCCACTAGAAATAACTTAATTAATAATGTTTTTTATTTTGATGATAAAAAAACATCTTGGTCATTTATAGAAACTTTTTATCATGAAGATAAAAAGCAGTTCTATAAGTGTGCACCAAAACTAACACACTCCCATATATATCCTACATCTTTTGAAAAAATGCGAGTAAAACTAGCATCTCAAATTTTAAGTAACACTGTTGCAAGTTCTATGTATAAATATATTTCTCTTGGTATTCTTCCATCAGATGCATTGGGAACAATAGAAATTATTGAAAAATTTAATAATTTGTTTGATATTTTAAATTCTACTGATAACAATAATCCTAACAAATTTAAAAATGTATTTGAGGGAACTGATTTTCAGATCAATTACCTAGATTCTATGATAGATTTGGTACATAAACTGAATATATTAGATAAAACAGGAAAAGATGTAACATGTCGTTCGCGATCAAAAAAGTGTTGGATTGTAACAATGAATGGTGTTAAAAAGCTTTGGGATAACTTGAAGTCTCATGATTTTAAATACTTAAAATACTTTAAATGATAAAAGCCTATCTATTTGAAAGACCATTTTATTCAGTAGAAGAGTTTCTTAATTAATAACTAAGAAATTACAATATCTTAATGTGCAGTTCCATGGTGCTTTACCCATGGGTCATCATTACCCAAAGTAGCTTAAACTTATTAGTTCCTACGGTTGATTATGCAATTTGTTATTGTCTTTATCCTCTGAGTCTTTGTAAGCTTCGTCCATAAAATTGTAAAATTTTCAATGACAATAAAGCATATTATATTTGTATTCTATTCCCATCCGGGTTATGTTTATCCATGCTTATAATGGTCTTTTAGAATGGGGCGGAATAAGGAATATTTACTTGCATTCTATAAACATTCAGAAGTGCTTAATTAGATTTTTATGAAAAAGATTAAGATATTACAGCAAACTGTTATACAACGAGAATAAATTTTTAACTGTATGTAAATTGTCCTCTTACAAAGCCCTTATACACATACATGAAATAAAAAAGGATACTATTATACATTAGCAATCATGCGCATCAAACTAGATATATAAGGAATAATGCAATTTTATCCAAATGTAATAAATCCATACTCCAGAAATATGTTGGCTACATAGGGCCCAAATGATACAATTGTCTACCGGAGAATTTAAAACAAATTAAGAGTTATAAAAAACATAGATATCAGTATAAAACTAAACAATGGATTGGAAACAAAATAACACAATTCTGCGAAGAGCAGATTAATTGATCATAGTAATAAATAAAAATATCGAAATATACCTTGTTTACCAACTACAATATTTCTTGAATTTATTGACATATTTATGTCACATGCTATATTAAAATGAATGTATTTTTGTAAGTGCGCATATGTAACTGTTTATATTAATACATTTGTTAAATATTTGCTTTTTTGCACATATATTTTTTAAGTATCATACACAAGGGGTGCTACTTTTATGGTAGCTACATTTCAGTGATTTTTCATATTTATTTAGTGTTAAGTATGCTTATTTTTTGTAAATCTATATTATAATCTAAGCTTCCTAAATAAACATTATTATTAGTATTAATTACAATAAATTTCTATTATTATTATTGTGTTTTATTACAATTTTTTACCCCTCCCTACTACAAATGTGATATATCCAGGCGAATTGAATATAGTACTGTACAACCAGAAGTTTCAGAGACCTCAGATGCACAGAAAGAGAAATCGAAGAGGTATACGTGTATATTAATTACAATAAATTTTTATTATTCTGTTTTATTACAACTTTTTACCCTTTCCTACCATAAATTTGATATGTCCTGGCGAGTTGAATTTACTACAATACAACCAGAAGTTTCAGAGACCTCAGATGCATAGAAAGAAGTCTAAGGTCATTTTGTATACATTCATTCTAGCCGCAGCTGCAGAGTTTTTACGCGCAGCGAAAATATCGTGGTGTTGGAGGTTAATAGATAATCACATTCAAAGAAATTCCTCAACAGGAAACAAAAAAGTCAGCAACTTAAGACAAAGTTAATAGAAATTTCAAAAGTATAATTCTGTATTGATAAGTAAAAAAGTCTTGAGTCAAAATATAGATTTTGAGTGATGAAGTGTTTTATTAACCTTAAAAAACGATAAAAAGTAATAGAAATCAAGCTTTTCATCTCTATTTTAAAATTAACTCTCAAATTCAATCGGTTTTTTAACGTACTAAAATACTTTTAGTACGTTAATTTGTTTGTTAAAAAAAACAAATCGATATTTTTGACTTAACAACTTTTTAATTATCAGTTCAGAATTGATATATAAGTTATATTAAATTTTACAGAAAAAATAAAATTCATACAAAACAGATTACTTAAAAATGATTACTTCATTTCTCAGTGTAACTATCATTTACTACAGTTTTGAACGACTTCCTCACTACTTTTCTTCGTGTAATCAAATGTAGGTTCATTGCTACTGTCACTCTGAATTTCTGTCCTCCCAACATCAAAGGTTCCGACAAAGCTTTCGCTTCTGGTTGTGATTAGTGTTCTGTGGTAGGGACGACTGGAGAGAAATTCTTGAGGAGGCTAGGAACCACGTAGGGTTGTAAAGCCAGAATGATGATGATGAGAACATTCTGAACACATTAGAAAATGCATTTAAAGAAATCAAATTAACCCAAATAATCATCAACCTGATTTATGCAAGATTTTTTACTTCAGGAAGATATGTGAGGTTAACATCATGATAACTGGGCGCATATAAAATACTAATATGATTTTCAGTTATCTTCTTTAAAGCAAGTTCCTGTCCGATAAAATAAAAAAAGTTTATTATTTGTAACAGGGAGCAAAAATGGGTGATATATGAAAACGAATATAAGCAGAACTCATACCTTGTCAGCAGCGGTCGATTTAGACAATGCAGATTTAGTAGCACATCGAGCTCGGAAACTGCAGCTGCTTCCAATGCTGGTCTTTTCGGCTTGAGAAGACGTAATAAAGCTGACGTTGTCATCGAAACGGACACGTTCCGATGTGCAGTCTTCTGTCGTAATGCAGCTACATGAATCACTACCAGGAGCCTAAAATGCCAAAAGATTAGTTTATTTCGTCTCGATAAGTAAATCTGCAAACGTCGAAAATCTTTATCATGTGAAAATCATTTTTCTGTGCGAATTTTTATTTTGCAAACTAAGTTGTGATCGAAATCAAATCGGTAGTTTGTTGCAAATTTCAGAATTTCTAATTTTTACCAACTTTAAATCTACATATTAAAAGATTAAAAAAGTAAACCAGAAGTCCACAAACATTTTCACCGGAAGCAAAAAAAATGTTATGAGCTGAAGTGAACCAAGACAAGTTTGTAGACATAATTTTGCACGCTAATCCGTTGTCAAAATAAGCTACCTATCTGTAGTCATTTGCGAGTTACACCGTTTTTATTAATTATCTCAAAGCCAGAAATACTGACGGACGGACGACTCAAAATTAATTGTCGTACTGTTATTTCTATCCAATCAAGTACTGTTTGAATCCAAATTTATGAAAACTTATAGTTCCTGTGGTTACAACTTTGGCATTTTGGTTTGTCAATCGTGACAAATAAAAAGTAACATATTTTATAATAAATGAGGGGCTTAGAATAAAAAGGATCCAAGAGCAATTTTACTAGTTTTGAGATATTTAAGGTTAAAGTTTTTTAAATAATTAAAATTCCTTGTATATTAGTTACGGTCTTACATAGTATTATTATATTACTATAGGATCAGAAAACTATTAAACCTACACAAGTTTTCAAAAGAATAACCAATTCAGCTTTATTTAAAAAAAAAAACACTTGCCCCGTCTTATTCTGAACGGTCAACCAATTATTATCTGGACTACAATGTATCCGTAGGATCTTTGCAGTAAAAAAAGTGAATTTTGGAAAATGTTTGTTTATAACTTTATTTGGTAAATTATTTATTTGTAATATAAAAAAAGTCGAAAAAAAATATCTTTCGACAAAGCAAGTTTCACTCATAATCAGAGTCCAGCACTGCTGTATCTTTCATGTCTTCGCCAAACTTAGTTTGCTGCGATGCCACCTCCAACGTTTTAGTTTTTTCTTGAAATCCTTCTTCAAATACTTCATTGACGGTATTAGTTTTTTATTTTTTTCTTGTATTTATTGGGAAGGTTGTTGTAGACCGGTGGAATAAAATCAAATTTTTAAATATTGTCCCGTTTCTGTTTATTGATTTTAATTGGCTAAGCGTCAAGATTTATTTAAACATGGTTTCCATGCTAATAGTAGGACGTCCAGCTCCTTTTTGTACACTTACACATGTAAAAAATAAAAACTCTTCATTTTCGAAAATGTTTCGGAAGATTTTTCATACTAAATGTACCGCACTGGTCTTCATTTAAAAAGAACAGTAAAGAATACCATTGGTGTCCTTCTTGGGATCATTTATAACTTTGTTTATTGTTTCAAAACTGTAAAAGTTTTCTTGATTCATTCGGTGTACATTAAACTTTTTGGACACTAATTGAATTAGCTGGGTCCAGTGCTCTGGAATAAATACCTGTGAATTCTTACGCTTCAGTTTTGCAATTATACCAAAATCTCTATCGCACTCCATAAATGTATGGTTCCAAAACCCTGTGGTGAATCTTTTGAATATAAGTAGATTTCACCAAGAACATAAACAGCTTTACAATGTTTTTATTTTTGTTCTTCCTACCGCAGCAATCGCTATATGCGATGATCTTGGTAACACTTTTAAAGAGTATGTTTTTTACAAAATGAATGAGGCACGGACCAATTTCTTGACATCCACTGCTTGAAATGGATTCATCCCAGATGTACATTGCTGATCATCATGTGGTTACATTGTAAACACAAAAATTATACGTCAAAAGCTGTCGCAAATAAAATGCTTTCGTTGGAAGTAGTTAATAAAGGAGTGAGAAGGGTTTGCTCAAGATCAATACAAATTTCGTTCATATCTACAGATGCTTTGTAATCTATCGGTTTTTGGAATACATCTTTATCCTACTTACCTTCAGTGTAACTACTATAATGCATTTTATATAATTTTTTTTTAACTATTTCTATCGTTTTATACACAATTTAAGTCATAAATATCGAAGGTGATAATATACATTACTTCATATAAGTCGAAGTATACTGACTGAATTTAAGTTGGAAGTTGGAATATAAGGAAACTGCGCTTGGATCCATTTTAAACTAAAGGTTTCTATACTTTTATTTATAGAACATTTTTCAAACCCCGGTAGATTGCAGTCTATGTATGAAATCACTTAGATCCATTTTAAAATTAATAAAACTACACTTTAAGTATTCAAATCTGTATTTAACCCGATATTAAAAAAAATGCGCTTGGACCCCTTTTATTCTAAGCCCTTCAAATATTTTTTCATACAATTCTGACGGTATTAAGCCATTAGTATCAACAAATAAGTTTATTTTGATAATAGTTTCATAAATTTTGCCCTGCACCAACTGGCTTTAAACAATTGGCACCCAACATTACACAATATACATGTATTCTGTCTTATTAAAATTATGCCCATTAAAAATAAACATAATCTACGCATTGTTAATTCCAATAATATATAAATGCAAATCATTCATTGATATCATCGAGTTGAAATTTACAATTTCATTTCTGAAGATTATAACTATCATTAGATACATAGTGAATAATATGGATCAATACCGCACGTTCGAGTTTTTTAAATATTAAGTAGATAATTAGAAGAAGAAGAAGAAGAAATTAGGAAAACGTGATCTCTTACCTTATAATTAAGCATTGATCCTGCCAGAGCTCTAACGCTAGCACCGGCGTCATCGGCTATACTAGCATTGACAGATTCGCTAAGGCTACTCAGGCTGAATCTTTGCGCTGATACCAGGTCTGCTTGAACCTCCAATCTTTGACCTGCTTGATTTAAACTGCCGGCGAGAGCTACTGTGCTAGCAGATTCCCTAAAACACAAAATATCCTAGTTAGAATATGACAAGAATGTATTGTTTTAGTAACTAAATCACCTAAGGTATATAATTAAGAAAAACATAATGCCATTTAAATATATACATTTGTAAAACGATGGTACAAATATTGAATACACTACACTACAAATTTTATTTAGAAGATGGTACCATTGTTATGAATTAATATGAATTGTTATAAATTGTTATGAATTGTTATGAATTGTTATGAATTGTTATGAATTGTTATGAATTGTTATAAATTGTTATGAATTGTTATAAATTGTTATGAATTGTTATGAATTGTTATGAATTGTTATGAATTGTTATGAATTGTTATGAATTGTTATGCATTGTTATGAATTGTTATGAATTGTTATGAATTGTTATTAATTGTTATGAATTGTTATGAATTGCATGAATTGCTATGAATTGTTATCTCAATTTTTAACTGAAAAACTTGAGCTGAAGGGAAGGAATTGAAAAATATGGGAGAAATATGCCTGAAGAGGGACTTATGGAATGGCCGATAGAGGCACAGATTAAAAATTGGACGATTTCTGAGAACGTTGTGTACCGATGCAATAATAATAATAGACACGATTTTGCAACAAATTAATACGTCCTATAATATCCTTTTTTTTAAGAACCTTTTACAAAAGCAACATTTTCATACCAATTTTTAGATGTATTAAAAGGGCGTTGACATTGTGTAAAACTTTGGATTCAAATTTATGTTAAAATCTGGAAGTGATATTACGTACGAAAATATAAGAGGTCTAGACGTTGTAACCACGTCCTTCTAGATGATTTATGTTACGTATTAAATATCCTTTTGATTCAAAGTTCGGTTTCGTAAGATTAACGAAAAAGGCCGCAAACTGTTACGCTCGCTACATGACGCGACTTTGTGATTTATAGTTTCAGGATAATTTATATGAACGGAACAATCTGGTGTAAAGGGCTTGATATGGGATATAAATCATTTTTTTTATAATTTTTATTGACAATTAGATATAAATTCAGTGTTTAATGTCTAGTATAATAATTTAATAAATGTAATAGCCTGTGTAGATACAAAATCAGAAATATTTTATGAACTTAACGGACTCTAGTTACACGCCAGTAAGGTGATCCTCTACATCCTACAACGTCATGTAGAAAACTTTAAAGTTGGCAGATAGCACCTGAGCAGGCTAGATTTGCGAAGGGCAGATGTACTAGAGAACAAATCCTTACTGAAAGCAACATCATACAAAAAGCCGAGAATATCAGATTCCGATGTTTATATGTTTTGTTGATTATACAAAGGTATTTGCATAATGTTACATGGAATAAACTATGGAACATATTGACGACAATGGGTGTACATAAACACTTGACAAACCTTATCAGCAAACTGTGTCATGATAGCCTTGCATATATTCGAATGAATGGATACCTATCTGACGAATGTACTTTGAAAAAGGGAGTAGGTCAACGATGCGTTTTATCTCCCTTATTATTTAACATATATTCATAATGTTCATAATGCGCAAAGTCTTGGGTGGTTGGGAGGGAGGAGTAAACCTAGGCGGTGTCAAGATATCTAATTTGCGTTTAGCAGACGACACTACACTTCTAGCCTCTACTCCAGAAGAAATTACTAACTTATTAAAAAAACTCGGGGCAGAAAGTACTAAATTTGGACTCAAAGTTAACTACGACAAAACCAAAATCATGGTTATTGATCGCCAACAACAGTTTATTGAAACCCGAACACATGCAGTTGTGAGACCGAAAGTCGCATTCAACCAGCAAGAGCAGCAATGATTGAACTAAACAGGGTCTATCGAGCTGCTGAAGCTCAATGATGAACCACTGTTCAGATGTTAATGATTATGAGGATGACGAGTGGACTACAGCGAAAAAGTAAAATATTTAGGGTTTTTCATAAACAGATCGGGTGTAGGAATATTCAGTGGTGGTAAAAATTTAACATTTTTACACAAACACCAACTTTACTATACTGATAGGAGACCTAAACGCCAAAATAGGCCACAAGCAAGATGATTCGGAGTTTGTAATTGGACCTCACGGATATGGCGATAGAAACGAAAGGGGTCAAACTCTCATAGAATTTCTTCTGCAACACAGGCTATATGTCATGAATACGTACTTTAAAAAAAGCGACCAAAGAAAGTGGACTTGGCAATCACCAAATGGTTTAAACAAGAACGAAATTGATTTTATATTTACTAACAAAAAAGACGCTGTTCAAGACGTAACTGTATTAAATCAATTTTCAACTGGAAGTGACCATAGAATGGTAAGGGCGAAGATAGTCTTAAACATACAGAAGGAAAGAAGACATATGGTAACAAGGACTAATAATGTTACATTCACTGCGATTACTAACACCAGGGCATACCAGGAAGAAATAGAGAGTAATCTACAGAAAGACCTGCAAGATGAAACCAGTATTGAACAGCTTAACGAAAAATTGGTAGAAGCCCTGAAGAAGTCACAGAAGAAGTGCCAAGCCAAGCACTCAACAAAAAATGAAAAAACTCACAGAAGACACAAGAAACCTAATGCAAAAAAGAAGGGAAATGAAAGAAAAGCATACAACGAACATTGCAGAGCTAAGGAATTTAAACAAAACCATTTCAAAAGCCATTAGGAAAGACATAAGGAACTTTAACACTAAGGAAATAACTGATACCGTAGAACAAAACAAAAGCCTAAAAGTTCTAAAACGAAAGTTGAAAATAGGAACGAGGAATATTTATAAGTTAAAAAATAATCAAGGACATGTCATACATGAACAACAAGAGATACTAAAAATCATCGAAGAGTACTATAGAACATTATATAGTCGAGATGATCACATTCCCGAAGTAGAAATTCCAGCAATACTAAATCAAGGGTCAGAGGAACTTCCAGATATAACCAAAGAGGAAATTAAGTCAGCATTAAAAGGTATGAAGAAAAAGGCATTGTAAGTGAAATGATAAAACTAGGAGGCGAATGCGTCATAAAGGCTTTAAAAACCCTTTATAATGCCTGCCTCTTTGAAGGAAATACGCCAGAAAAATGGAATAATGCCATTATGATAATATTGCATAAAAAAGGAGATGTAACAGAAATTGGCAACTACAGACCTATCAACTTATTATCTCATTTATATAAACTCTTTATGAGAATAATTACTAACAGACTGGGACCTAAGCTAGATTTTCATCAACCTCTAGAGCAGGCCGGATTTAGGAGTGGCTTTGGAACAAATGACCACCTACAAGTAATAAAATCCTTGATAGAGAAAGTTATAGAATACAACAAGCCATTGATATTAATATTTGTAGACTTTGAGAAAGCATTTGACTCGGTCCAGCATAGCTCCATGTTAAGAGCTCTTACAGAGTGCAGTATTGACCATAGGTACACAACTCTTCTTCGAAATATATATGATAGCGCAACAGCTTGTAAAAATGTGCTATGGTGACGCAGACACATTTCCCTTGGAGAAAGGTATTAGGCAAGGAGACACTATCTCTCCTAAACTATTCACCGCCCTATTACAGAGTGCTATGAGAAAAAATAATTGGGAAAATATTGGATTAAATATAAATGGGGAATTTTTGAACAACTTGAGGTTTGCAGACGACATAGTCCTTATTGCAGATCAGGTAGATCATGCATGCCAACTTCTTCAAGACCTTCAGAGCTCTTGTGCACGAGTTGGCCTTAAAATTAATTTTTCCAAAACACAATACATGACCAACCTGGTACTGGCAAAAAATATTTCCACTAATGGCACGCAAATTGAACAAGTGTATTCCTATAAGTATCTGGGCCACGAGATTAAATTGGGAAGAGACAATCAAACAACAGAGTTAAAAAGGAGAATAGGACTGGCATGGGCAGCTTACGGAAAACTGAGGGAAGTCTTTAAATCAGCTATTCCCATGTTCTTGAAGAGAAAAGTATTTGATCAGTGTGTACTTCCAGTTCTGACATATGGAGCAGAAACATTGACACTTACCAGAAAAGTAATTAATAAGATACAAGTGGCACAGAGAGCGATGGAGAGGTTAATGTTGGGCGTATCACTCAGGGACAGAGTTTCGAGTCAGATAGTAAGGAGAAAAACTGGTGTGACGGACGCAGTTGAAAGAATTACAACCCTGAAATGGAACTGGGCAGGACATGTTGCTAGGGTCAGAGATGGAAGATGGACAAAGAAAATTTTAGAGTGGAGGCCTAGACACGATGCTTATCGTAGTCGAGGACGTCCTCCAACAAGGTGGTCGGACGATTTAAAGCGCATCCAGTCTAACTGGATTCAAGTTGCTCAAGATCGGATGCAATGGAATTATTTACGGGAGGCCTATGTTCAGCAGTGGACGCAAAATGGCTAATGATTATGATGATGATGATTCCACTAGTGGAATATACTTCTGAATTCTCTGAGATTTACGCAATCTTGAATTTATGTCGGACACGAAAAAACTTGGTTAAATACATGACGAAATGTATATTGGACGGACATATGCTAATGGGGCTGAAATGCTGCCGAAAACAAGCAGGAATCAGCTAAGAGTCAGAACAGACCTTCGTACTGGACATGCGCCAGTCAAGGGGCACTTCCATACAATGGGGATGTTTCATGGAGACTTAAGTAGCAGAGAACGTGAAGTAGTCAACCATATCTTCCATGACTGCGAGGCACTAGATCGCAGGCGGCAAACCCTTTTTGGAGACCATCAAGCTTACGATAGCTATCCACTAGATCTGTATAAGCTGATAGACAGTTTCAGAATTCTGGAATGGGTTATGAATAAATGGAAGGTACCGTGTACAATAAGCCAATTGGTTGCATTACGACCAATTTATAACAAATGGTTTTAAAAAAACATGCGACTACAGCGAAACATTTAAATATCTAGAGTTTATCACCTACAGATTATGGCAATATTTTGACATGTATAGGCAATTAATACTAGGAATGTAGAGAGTAATTATAAGACGTCCCGATTGATAAACAGAGAAACATATATGCGAGCCCTACCAACTAAATGTTAGGATAAACGAAAATTTATTGAAGACGTTTATCTTCACGATGTTTCTTATTGAACCAAAGAACAAGATCAATAATACATTATGATCTATTATTAATAAAAAATATTGAAATGGTTCGGTCTCTATAAACTTTTGAGTTGTAGCGTTGGTGGCAAAATAAAGAAAATGTTGCATAACATCTAAATGTTCGGACAATTCAAGAAATTATTATTTTAGTATGGACTCTATTGGACTATGGACTATTCTACACGGACTTGAATTTATATACTTCAGCAGGACGATGCTGCATGCCATACAACTAAAAAATGGATTAGAGACAATAGCATTAAAGTGCTCTCAAGATCTTCGAACAGTCCAGAGTGTCCAGACATTAATTTTATTGAGACATTATGGCATAAGATAAAATAGGAACTGCGTAATGATCCCCAGAGAAACGTAACCGATTTGAAGACTAAATTACGTAAATTATGGTATATTTTCGACTCTGACTTTCGAACCCCATATTAAAATAGTAATTTATTGAATTGTTCGAATATTTAGTTGTCATTTAGATGTTATGCAACATTTTCTTTATTTTGCCGCCAACGCTGCAATTCAAAGTTTATAGAGACCGAACCATTTCAATATCGTGTTATTATTGATAGAGTGTGATGCATTGTTGATATCGTTCATTGGTGTAATAAGCAAAGTTGTGAAGATGAACACTTTCAATAAATTTTGGTTTGTCGGAACATTTAGTTGTTAGGGGCTCGTATAGATTAACTGTTTCCTTACTCTGATTCACAGAACGGAACAAAATAATGTTTTTTTTATACTAATAGGTTATGATTTGACAGTTAACAAAAAAGTAAATCGGTTCAGACATATTGGAATATAAACCAATAGGGTTTGTAATCCGGTCATGCCTGTTTTGTCAGCATAAAAAAAATTTCACCATTTATCTTGTAAAATTTTAGTTATAAGTTTTAGCGTAGTATTTAAGTTTATACTTAACGTAGTATACCTATAGTATAACTATACGTAGTATTAAGTTTTCTGGCTGTTTTTTTCTCCTTTTTTGAATAATAGAATTAGTTCGTTCGTTCTCCATTCTTCCGATATTTTATTGTGTTTTAAAATTTTATTAATTAATGTTGTTAATTGTTCTGTCATTGCAGCTCCAAAATATTTCAGTAATTCGTTTGGTATCCCGTCTTTACCTGCTGCTTTTCTATTCTTCAGCTTTTCAAATATTTTCCGAACTTCCTGTACATCTATATTAAGTTCTTCATTTGTAGTAATTTCTGGTGTTTCCGGTTCTGGCGTCATTTGTTCTTCCTCTGCATAGAGCTTTTTTAGGTACTCAATCTACGTATCCTTTTCTATGTGCCTCCGTTTTCTGACCTCTCATGAAGCATCATATTTCCTTTTGCAGACCGTAAAAATCATGTTCCATTTCTTTCGAAAAGCGTTCCCAGCCGTCATTTTTTATTTTTCTTACAGTGTATGTGTTTCGTTTCTAATTGTCTTGACATTATGATATAACTCTTGGTGTTTTGGTTGACGTGTATTTCAGGTAAGCTTTTTTTTCTTTACATTTTTTCTTTACATTTTTCCTTTACTTCTGTACAAAACCATGGAGTTCTTCGCCTTAGGAACATCCTTGGCAGAGAATAAAATATTAGATTTAATTTTTGCTCAGTTTTCTTCGACTCCATCACTTTCTTATGTGTTCCTGCTTTTTTCGGTTATTCCTTTTTGGGATAGGCGTCTTTGGAGTCATCCTGTAATATTTCGACTTTTATCTTTGTGATGTATTCTGTTGTTTTATTATCACGTATATGTGTTTTCATTCGGATTTGCACAATACCAATTTTTGATCGTTTCCTATTTCTGCTGATGTTAGTGCTGTTACATTCAAGATTTGAGAAGGCTGTAACTCTCTATTCGACAGAATATAGTCTATCATAGATCTTTGTCCTCTATTGTTTTCAAAAGTGTAGTTGTATTGTTCTTTGGAGGAAAAAATATATTATTAATACATATCTCGTTTATGCTGCTATGAGGTCCATCAAAAGGTCTCCGTTTGCATTTTTGATATTTTCGTTATATCGCTGTTTGATTGATGGAACTATACCATTGCCAACACAAGCGCTTTCGTATTGAAACATCGTGTACACATGCAATATTCGTTATAAAACAAATTACTGAGAAATCACTAGAGTATAATAGACCAGCACTTCTGTGTCTGATTGACCTAAAGAAAGCGTTTGAGAGTGAAACTTAAAGATGTAATCATCTTCTGTATAATAGAAAAGTTCCCCTAAATATTATAAAAACTATTGAAAACATCTACCAAAACAACAAAATGAAGGTCGGAATAGATGGACAACTTACAGAACTATGCTCTTCAATTTGGTCATGGATGAAATCATCAAAAGCGTTAACAAAGGAAGAGGATACGGAATGGAAAACAAAGAAATCAAAACACTCTGATACGCACACGACCCAATCCTGATAGCCCAAGATGAAGATAGTCTGCATAGACTGGTGCACAGATTCAACATAAGAGCAAAAGAATTTAATATGACAAACTCATCTCAGAAAACTAAAACAATAGTAGTCAGCAAAGAACCAACCAGATATAAAATAGAAATTGATGGCATCAGTATTAAACAAGTAATGGAAATAAAATACCTGGGAATAACACTGTCTAGCTATGGATACCTGGACAAAGAAGTGAGAGATCACGTACAAAGAGCAAATAGACTAGCAGGGTGCCTTGATAATACTATATGGCGAAACAGGCACAGTAACACTGAGATGAAGTCAAGAATTTATAAAGCCAGTGTAAGACCAATAATCACATATGCTTCAGAAACAAGATCCGATAAAACCACAACACAAAGACTACTCGAACGACAGAGATGAGAGTACTGAGAAGAATTACAGGAAATGCGCTGAGATATCGAAAGTGAAATGAAGACATTAGAAGAAGATGTAACGTACAGTGTATAAATTAATGGACACGAAATAGAAAAAAAAAGGAATAACCACATAAGCAGAATGGAGGCGACCTGTGTCGTCAAAATAGCAAGAGATAGGTCACCAATCGGCAGAAGAAGTATCGGACAACTGCGCAAAAGATGGAGTGATAACCTTCTATAGAGGTATAATCCGCCAATGAACAAGCAGAATTGCTTATAAAGTGGAAGAAGAAGAAGAAGATCATTTATCTTGATCCGTACTATATAACGGTAATGGTGAACGTAGACAGCTTTGTCTCACTCCTCAGCTTTTTTTTTTCGTGCTATTTCCATCTAATGTTACCATAGTCTGTTGGGTCCAATAGAGATTTTTCACTATGTTAATAACAATTTTGTTGAGTCCTTTTCACTTTAGATATTCTATTGGAATGTTATGCTTAACTTTGTCGAAACCTTTCTCATAATCTATGAAAGCGACGTAAAGATCTTTTTGTTGATCTCGACATTTTTGAGCAAAATTTGTGAAACTATCTAGAGCTTCTCTTGTTCCGAAGCAATTACGTCAGCCACACTGTCTATTACTTATATCCGCTTCACATTTTCTTAATATTCTTGTATGTATCACCTTTAAAAATGGTTTCAATAACTGTGCCACTAAACTGATTAATCTATAGTCTAGTCATTACAGTGTTTGTAGTTCTTGATTTTTAGAAGTGGACCAAAGCTCGACAGCAGCTATTCTGTAGGTATCTCGCGAAATTTGTATATGTTTTGATGTGAACTTTAACTGGCCCAAGTGCTCTGCCCGATTACGAAATTATACGTAATTGTCAAACAATTATTATGACACTCTATATTATTCGCAACACGCTGTATTTTTTATTTACTTACTTACCTATCTATATCTCTAAGTACTTGACTACCGCTGGCAAGCGAAAGACTAGCTTCTCCAATAGAAGGATTCGGCCCTTTGGTGCTAACAGCGTCCATGGACGTCGTGTCGGCCGCTCTGGAAGTGATGACGTTCGAGTCTTCGGAAGCAGAAGAGCCTCCGCATCCTCCCGATCGGCACAAAGATACCGGTACCACACCGTAAACGTAAAACAGAAGAATCGGCACACCTATGCCTACGGCCAAGCCGGCTAAAAGAGGAGAGATCAATACCTGAAAAAGAAAAAGGGAAAATTAGATTTCAAAAAGTCTATATAAATTAAATTATAATCACAAAATGTTTATTTAGAACTCATAAGATTAATTAGTATTTTCTTTACTTCATGACAGATCCAAAAATGTATAATATATTTATAGTTTATTCATCTTCTGTCAAAATAATACATAACTCATAACTATAGAAAGCTTATATAAATAGTTTTTTTTTATTAAAAAAATTAATTTTTAATTTTATTTGCCATATTTTGCTTAAATCAGTCGAGACCACTCCGGCCCTGTGTTTGCCCTTCACTTCGCTGTGCCTGCGCATTCCCGTCGCCTAGCGCATTCCTGCCGCCGTTTCCCGGACCTAGCAGGAACTCCCCATCACCGGAAAATACACGACCTACGGACAAACCCACCGTCTACGATTGTCACCGATACATCGCTCTTTTTCCGGCAGTAGAGTTGTTACAAATCCGAATCAGATCTCTTCGATCCGGATCTGTTAAAGTAGGCAATGTAAAGAACAGTTTTTAAAGATTTGTACCTAAAGCTCTTTGTTTTTGCTTGAAGATACGAGGTGTAATATCTAAACGAAAAACCACAATTAGTGATACAAAAATTATTTGATGTCTTTTCATCACTAAAAATCCTGGAATCAGATTCCTGGAAATATACAAATTATATAACGTCAAAATGCATAAAAAAGAACCAATAATCAAAATGAACTAACAACTCTTAGGAAAATAAAAATATCTGCATCTTAGTAGAAAAAAGAAAACACAACGGTTTTTTTGAAAAGTAAAATTTACTTTCTAGAGATGGATAGGATTTTTTTCCGATCAATCAATGCAATCCTTTTTTTTATATAGATATTTTGCATTTTTTTTTGTAATGTGATCATTCCGGGTGACTTTTTTGTCTAAGTAAGTTCCCGAAATATCGATATATTTTGTTCTACGTATTAGATAGTAGTAATACTATGGGGTAGGGGTGGCTGGAGTTTTAAACAACAAAGGTTTAGAGAGGCCTGACCTTATTGAAGGAGGTAACCTAAGCGGGTAACTCAATTATCAATCAATATAGTTCAAATTAGATGTTGCGGGTTGAACACCGTGGCGTTGCGATTGTGGCACAACTTCGTGTGAACGTCCGATTTAAACTGTCTTGGTGATAGGGTCCTCGTGGACATAATGCTTGAGAAACACGATCAAACAGTAGCCATGGGACTGGGAGATAAAAAAATCTTGGTTTAGAAGATTTGGCAGAAAAGGAACCTGAAGTGGTGAATTTAAAAATAAACACAACAAAATATGGACGTTTAATAATGAAAAGACGGGACACATCGTAAACAAAGAAAATTGCAAAATTAGGCATGCAGTAACCTAAAATTATATTGGGGATAATTTTTAATAAGAACGACAAAAGCCAAATTAAAATTTGGGTAAGAAAAAAAACTTCCGTGTGGCGTTGAACTATTAGCTGGATAGAACTTAAGACGACGACTCTGCAAACGAAAAATGGAATTGTGATTAGAAACATGGAATACCCGAACCCAGTACCGAGCTGAAGCACTCACGACTTTACTACACAGTGAACACGTATAAAGTAAAGTAGATATTTAAACACTGCTGCGGTGGAAGGGAACCTTGACAAGATATTTCATAGATTATATCTGCAATGGAGTGGGATTTACTGTAAACCAAAGAACAAAATGCCTCAGTATTGACTTTAAAGTTTACAGTCAAATAATGTGCTATTTGGGCTTAAAAGGAAAATTCTTCAATGACAGTTAATAAATGCACATGTTCCGACTGATGGCAAACCAGAAGAAGTAAAAGAACAGTTCTTTGAAGACCTAGAGTAAGCCTACAGAAGATGTTTCAGAAATGATACTGAAAAATTGTGCTAGGTGTGAGTTTTCGCGCACAATATAAGAAGGCATAGCCTACACAACATCAGTAGCGATAATGGAATTGATCACATCTTAACAGATTCAAGACATGAAACATACATAATAAACTGCAGATCATTACCTAGTGATTTCAACATTGAGGGGTAAAATTTCAAACATCAGCAAAGAAACTAAAATAGACAGAAATAAATGGAATAGGCAAGAGCAACATCACCAACAAGCTAAGAAATCAAAATGTAGATGAAGAAGGCCACAAAGACATAGACCAGAATAAAGGAGGATATTGAAGCAGCAGCAAAAGATGAAATAGGAACAGAAAATTATGCTCGTGAAATAAAGCCTACAGAAAGATGCTTACCGGCGAACTAGAAAAACTGCAGAAAATTACCAGACAAATAAAAGAGAAGAAAAGAGGACATAAAAAAAAACATTTAAATAAGGAACTTAATTACATAGAAAACCTTAACAGAGAGAAAGAATTCAGAGCATTCTGTGAGAAAGTTAATATCAATAGAAAAGCATTTTAGGCAACCACAAGTAAATGTAGAAGTCAGAATGGTGACCTAAAACAAGGAAATATGTATTGAATAGATGGTTGGCATATTTTAACCAGATACTTAATTCAGAGGAACAAGAAGAAACCCTGGAAGACGATAGAGATGAGGTAAGCGGAAAAGACGAGAGGGAAGAGGAACCACCAATAATTCTTGCAGTTAAAGATGCAGTTAAAAACTAGCCAGAAACAAATCACCCGGAATAGATAAACTCTCAGCTGCACTATATAAAGAAGGTGGCTACGATACCAAAACGGCATAACAGCAGCTCACAAAAGAAATCCCTCTACAGTGAAGAATACGTTGCACCATACACAAAAAGAATATATCTTTGAATGCTCTAATCACAGAGGAATTACGCTTCTACCTGCAGCGTATAAAATATTTTCCACAATACTAGGCCATCGAATGGCCTCATATGCAGAACGAATAGTAGGAAAATACCAGGCTGATTTCAGAGGTGGTAAATCGATAAATCATCAGATTGCAACTCAGAGTTGTGAGTCATGAACAAAATGAATTAACAAACAAATAAACGAGTAAAGTAGCTAACATAGATGATACAGGTGAGAGATTACAAAAGAAACAGGAAACATGAAAAAGAAATATACGTATAGGAAAGAACGGAGAAAAATAGTGCTATAAGGAAATCGGAACTTGTAAAAAAAATTCTGATTGGACGTTTGATAGTTATTGGTTTTTTTTTAGCTTTCAGTTTTTTTTGTACCTCGACAATAGTTTTTTATTTGAGACTAGAAACATCAATAATAAAGTGTTTGTTTTACCAAAACAATCTTTAAACATATACCATTATAGATTCGGTTGCAAATTTATTATGATTCACTCATGTTCTCCACAAACTCATACAAAATACCGAGATCCGCAATCGCCACATCTCTATATCACTCCTCCCAGCAGCTTTCCAATCCATCCTTCAGGAGGTTCAGTCTCGTTCCGTCTATTAAACTGAGTACATCGATGACGTCGTTCTAAAGAGTTTTTATTATACATTAATGTCGCGGTTAGTAGTTTTCGAATAAAGTTTCCATTCCGATACCATGATTTTTTGAATATTGGTTTGTTCAAGTAAAGTAGATATATTTTTTCGGGTTACATCGTTTTAGTACATTAAATGTGGGTGGGTTTTCCAAAAATCGGGATATATTTTATCATATAAAGAAAAAAGACACAGGGTAGTATCAATTCTCATTCAAACAAGCTCTTATATTGCACATTTCAATTAAAAAACTGCACTGCTACGTCTTATTCAAGATAAATCTCAAATTAAAAGATTTTAGGAATTATACATTCACTGATTCCTTTTTAAAGATAGGTTTGGTCTATCTAAACATTTCTGGCAATAATTGTTTTAAGTGTACATTTTGCCTTTTTTTCAGGTTTTTCACACACTTGATTACTATTTCCTTGATTTTCCACATTTGTTTTTCTAAAATTGTTAAAGGTAAGTTGTTTTTGGCTAATTATATCACAACCTCTTCAAAACTAACGTTCTAGTTTACGTTCTTCAATATAGTTTTTTAATGCATTTCGCTACAAACCTAACAGAATTCTTGTTTTCTTTTAGAAACAAAAATAAAACAAAAATGCATATTAAACCGATTTTTGTTTAATGATTTACACCTCTCTAATCACTCAGACTTGCTTTTTAGTCAACCATTTGTATCACTTAATTGAGAGGTATTATTTCATCTAATGAATAACCATTCATCAGTTTCATAACATTATTTTTTGAAAAACTAGTATATTAGATGAATTAATTAAACGCCATGACTTTAGTTTATACTTTGTAGTGCTCTGGTTTTTCTTTGCTTTTACATATTTATAATGTGCAATATATATATACTACTGGATGAAACATTGGTAATCTTAATTTTCCTAGAATTGAATAATTTTGATTCTTCATTTATAATAATGTAATCACGTTTTTTCTAACTTTTTGGTATCCAAGCAAGCAATACCACGCAATCCGGGAATATACGATCAACATCTTACACTTTTTTTCATTATTTTACCATAAGCTCTTGCGCCAACACGGACAACTATTAATCCTTTGATTGGGTTTTCATAAATCTTTAAATCTAAATATATCAATGTTATGGTGTAGAAATAAGTATCTCCTTTCATTGGTCTTTTACTGGTAAAACCTCGGCGGTTTTAGCAGCTTCTACTATTATAGTAATATTTCTTTCCTTAGCATTCAAACTAATCCTAATTATTTTCCATATTTTCGGAGTGACGATTTTCCTCTAGGATCTGCAAACTAGTATTTAAAATATTTAGAATGATTTTTGAAGAATTATTTTTTCTTGGTATATTAATACTCTATTAAATTGCCTGCTAATTTCTGAATGTTTTTACAATATCTTATAACAGCTCCTTTTAGTACTACAAGTATCATTGCTGTACTTCAATACGTTTCACTTATGTAAAAGAAATCCAACTGTTAAGGTTTTTATATTAACTTATTTATTGAAGTTTATAACATTCAGGATCGAGATACAAGCCAAAACCCGTTGGGTACTTTAACATTTTATAGATACTTTATGTCTCAAATACACTTCACCAAAATCTGTTATAATCTACAGATTTACGGGCGCTGTATCTGTTTATTTTCAATCTGTGCCTAGCCAGGATAACAAAATATTTGTTAGTCCAATAGGTAATTTATTTGACAGTTGATTCAACCAACTTATTGATCTCGGCTCGAGAGATACGTGCTGAATAATGCAAACATACATAGAAGGGATGTAGCGAAAACTCGACAGAATTGTTTATATAAATGGTCGATTTCATGTTGGGTGTTTACATAACCCTTTATTAGTTTATCAATTCTATTTTCAAAAATTCAGGCAGTTCAGGATAAAATAATTTAAAGCACACAAAATATCTACATTAACTAAAAATGCAATTGTATTTTAATTGAGGGATAAAACAATTCCTTTTTTGACATATTTTTGAAAATTCTGTTCTATAGCCTACCCTTTCACCTACCATTTCTTACTATAACAATCTGTTGTTCATTTTAGTTCGAGTTCCTCTTATTTTCCCAACTGCTTAAGTATTGTGACCTGTTTCTTTACTTGGAATTCCATTGTCTTTGAAATCACTGATGATCTACACCATTCCCGGTGTTCTTAATACCCCTTTCATTCCGGTTATGCCATTTTGTGACCTCGGATGGTCTAAAGGAAAGAAGTACATTTATATAAAGTTATAGCTTCCAGTTTCAGACAGCAGCTTCTTTTATTTCTTTTTCAAAAAGTGCTATTATGCTCTTGAAAAATAATTCTTGTACTTTTTATTCGTTAAACAATCGATGGATTATTCATTAATTAGTTTATTGACGGACTGAACCTCTATCCACTAACAGCTATAAAATCAATCACACTAAATGCAAATTCGGCGTTAAAATCGCCCAAAATCACTAAAATCAACTGGAAAATTCACCGTCGCATTTGCAAATCGTCACATTTTATGTACCAAAACCGATCCACGCGTTTCACCCGAAACCAATTCACTTTTCCCGTAGCATTTCCGCTTCCGGCAAGCGAAATACCCCATTGTCTGGTGGTCGGGACATGTCAGAGAGTGAAGAGGATTCAATGAGTGGCGCCGACTGGCCTGTGACGGAGGAATGGCTCCAAGCCGTCCTTAAGGAACACCACAAAGATTTGCCCGATCCCACGATGATAACCGTTTTAGATTTCAGCGTGCGCCAGGGATGCGAGACCGGAGAAAGTGTCCTTAGCGATATTTTGGCAGTTGCCGTAAAATATAGTTTAAGGTAATGATAATTGAATATTTATAAATGTAAATCAACAATAAGGAAGACAGCTAAATATAGAAAATTAAGTATAACACTAGTAAATAAAACTGAAAAATTTAGATAATTTTTTAAATTTAAATAATTTTGCATGTAGTTCAGAAGTGACAATAAATATTCTTTCAATGAAAATTTCCTCAAATCCAAAATAGAAAATTAGAGCTCTATAGCTGTTTAGTAAATCGTTAAACGGAAAAATCTTTTATTTAATAACAACTAAATGAATATTTATACCTGATCTATTAATTTTATTTTGATATTTTGAGTATGAGTGTTTGGTTTAATAGCCTTGCTCGTAAACCAGTAGGCTAACTCCTATTTGTACATGTGCATAATTCTAACAGTTGATTTCCCCAATTTTCTAAATATTTTTGACAATAAAATGGCAAAATTCATAACCAATGATTCAATACTGTTCTAATGCTGTGACCTGTTTGGATTAGTTCAATATGTACAGCTTTTTAATATTCCTCTTTTTACTATGCAGTTTTTGTAGACTATTCTATTCAGACATTTTTCTCGACATTCTCAAGGAATATTCCTTCTTAGAAGACAAGTTATTAAAGAAATAATTTCCTATGATATTATGGTATGGGTAGTTTTAAATAGGTATTAAGCTGTGTTTCTACATTTATGATCACTGCATAAAGTTGAGATTTAAAATCTTTTCGTCACTCCATTTGTAAAACACCGTGTTTCATCACATAGAAAGACTGTAAAGACTTAACTTCCAAGAAATATGTTTATTTTTTATAAATATAAGCTATAAATTAAGTTGATAAATGGTTTTTTTATATTATATTCATGTACTGATAAAACGGCTTCTGAAAAAAAATGTGAATCAGTATTATTATTTTTAATTTATATTTAGCATTATTTACGTATAAATTTTACATACATTTATTTGGTGGTTTTCTGTATCAAGAGCTGCAATTCGTTACAACTATCAAAAAATGACCAGGACAGTTTTATCTGATCACCATTTTGCATGTCCAGGTTACTTACACACAATTCTAAAGAGACGCTTCTAACTGGCGTTATATTAATTTTTCTCTATAGTAAAATGCTAAGGCGATTGTTATGAAAATAGCAACACGAAATAGTTGGAGGGGAACCTAGGAGAGTCCATTAGACAACATTTATTTTTAAATTTTATTAAAATCTATAACGATAATATTAACTAACAGCAGTTTTTTTTGTACTTTCGAATGTGCAAAAAATTGTTAAAATAAATAAATAAACTTTGTAAATACATGATTGTAAAAAATACACAAACCAGTGTGAAGCTTCACGTCAGTCTACACTTCCACTTTTTTCCTTCTTTATTTTCTCGTTTTTTTTTTGAAAAATTAAATGGATTACTTACTTTTATTATTTAGTTGTTTTTTTTTGTTTCCGCTCTTTCCATTTACTTTACTGTGTTTTGTTGTATTTATCTATTTTTTTAGCTCTTCGCACATTCCATCCTCTAACAACATTAATAGTTTTCGTTTTAACCCATTTTATTTTATTGATTGCCGCTAGGACTAAATCTCAGGTTTCCCTTTATTTAACAAATTGTAGCGGTTTAAATTGCTATGAGGAATAAATCTCCGGTTTCCTTTTATGTGATAAATTGTTGCAGTATTCTTAATAAAGTTTTTGAGTAAATTCTTGGATTTTAGTACGAAAGATTTAGTGTTTCCATGACTGTTAAAAACCACTTATAAAGTCGGAAATTCAAAAATTTGAGCTCTTTTTATATAGAATTACGTCAAATGAATGCGTAATCCTCTTTGAAGGGGATTGTACACTCGGCGCGAGTGAAACAAGAAGTTTTAAATTTAATGGAAATCATGCCTATTCAAATACGCTTAAATCGTCGTCACCAGATTGTATAATTAATTTTTTTTTACTGACGAAAAAGTATTTAAAATTCTCGACGACAAAAGCCACCCTTACGGAGAACAGTCGACCCTCACGAAACGGCATAATTTTAATATCGCCTTTAGAAGTAAATAGCAATATAACTTTGCAATTTTCTTTTTATTACCAGTAATTTTAAAGTAATTTAAATGCAGAACTGCATAGTTACAGAGTTGCTGCGGTTATTTTGAGATTAACAACATCAGTGTCTCTCTACAATATACCAATACATGGTACAGCGGGACAACACCGTAGCGTTGCAAATTGTTGTTTACTGTACAAAAAAGTATTTAAAGTCTATATTTAAATGGTGTTAATTAAAATACTTGAACTCAGGGAAAACTAGTTGCATATAAATCACTAATTTTTCCAGTGTAGGAGAAACCTCAAGAGCACTAATTGTTAGGATAAATCAACATGAATCATACATAAAAACCCAAGACTTTGATAGATCCCAGATATGCAAACATACCTGAAACAATGAACACAGAGTACAATGAAAACATGCATCAAGATTAATAAAAACAAATAGTCAGCAAAAGGAGAAAAATCAAAGAAGCAGTTACCAATACTAGAAGAAGAAGTCAACAATAAGAATATGCCAACATTAATGGATTAATGGATAAAAGGTCAGACACATCATCTACAAATAACTACATAAGCACACAAAAATCAGAATCCTACTTAAAACATGGCTATTTTGACTACAAGATCGAGGCCAAGTAACACAACTGTCAAATTGGATGCAACATAGCGTCAATTAATAAACATGTATAGATTAAAATTATTGCTATTTATGATTTTTTTAAAACTAATAAATATAACCAGTCTAGTTCTCCATATAATCAAACTAATCTATCATTTTCTTGTTCTTTTTTAGGGAAGAACCTGTCGGAGTGACGCATAGTTTAAGTTTTATCATAAAACTCCTGCCCCAAGACCCGTTCAGCAGATTTTTCGTGACCGAGGCACAATTCGATCTTAGGGAGATAAAATTCTACACGCAAGTAAGTCATTTCCATTCATCACAACCGAGACTCATTTCACACATGAAAGAACCGCAGCGTCGTCGGTGGGATAGTTGATATTAATTCGGTAGAAACGCTGTAATTTTTAACTGTCTAAAAATGTAATTTAAAGTAAAGGGGATGTGATAAAGGGAATATGAGTTACCGGGGATTTGTATTAAAGAATTTAACGGTTACTCGGCATGTGAAATTGTTAAAAGCTTTCATAAAACCTCTACTTAATATAATAAATTATGCATTTACAATTATCAACGATGATAGCATATTTCTTGCATTATAAAAAAGATTTCGATTGTATACCAAAAACAGAAACGTAAAAATGGACAAATATTTAATTATTGAAGCAACGAGAAAGCATAAGTGTAAAAACATAGTGGAGCATCGCACCTCGCCAGTCACATTGCTACGCAGTACGCACATTGCCGATTAAGAAACAATTTAATAGATTTACATAGCAGTGTGCATCACGGAGCATCGCACCTCGCCGGGAACATCGCTACGCATCTCGCTACGTTTTGAAGAGCAAAATAATTTGTTTTTCTGGATACAGTAGCATGAAAGTCACTACCTGATTGGCTGTTTCAAGGTTAACTTACCGTCGTATATCTTTTGCTCTCTATCTGCCAGCGGTTAGAAAACGGTTGGGATCATTTGCAGTTAGAAAACGTTTGATTCATGCACGATGGATAAAGAGCAATTAATTAATGAAATATTTAAAAAGCCCCCAATATGGGATCAGCGACACAAGGAACATCATAACCGCTACGTGCTAGACAAGGATTGGAAAACAGTAGCTAATAACTGCGGTGTTTCAGGTAAGCAATCAATTTGTTTGTTTCATCCTGTGTTATTATTTATATTCTAATTAGATAGGTATGTAATCGTACTAAGATATGTTCAAGATGCCATTTTTATTGATACATTTAATTGAATATTACAATTACGGAAGAGTTTTGTTACTAATAAAATATTGTTTAAATGCATTTCTCACCGAAGTAGCCTCTGCTGTTGAAGGATTATTTCTCCTACATGCTGAAATATTGGGCAACACACAGTCGAAGCTTTTATTATCTGTCGTAGCGTGAGTGACATGTTCTTGGTCCATTATTGTATTATGTAGAATACAAACTGCTTTAATAATTGCATCTGCAGTGTTGGGTTGTGTTTCAATGGCTTTCGTTAGTATTCTCCACTTCATTGTTAAAATTCCAAAAGCGCATTCGACTGTTTTACGCGCTCTAGATAGACTTTTGTTGAATAATTCAGTTTCTTCATTTAAATTATTTCTGGCAAATGGCTTCATTAAATTGGTTAACAAAGGGTACGCTTCATCGCCAATAAAAACATAAGGTGCCTTAATATTACTATTTGGTAACAACTCTTCTGTTGGAATATTCAACTTTTCACTGCTCATCAATTTGTACATATTAGAATTACGAAATGTTCCCCCATCACTTTGTTTACCATATGCACCTACTTCAATAAAAATAAATTTACAGTTCGCATCACTCACGGCTTGCAGCACAATGGAGAAATATTGCTTATAGTTGTAGTACATTGTTCCTGAATGAGTTGGACACTTTAGTCGAATGTGTTTACCATCAATTGACCCAAGACAGTGGGGAAATTTCCATCTATTATAAAATTGTTCGGCTATCTCTCGAAATTTTTCTTCTGTGGGCGGAATCATATGAAGGGGTTGCAAAACGTTCCACAATAAGGTGGTAATTTCTGGGACAATACGTGCTATGGTAGATGCTCCCATGCGAAAAGAAAAAGCCAGGCTCTTGTAAGAGTTTCCTGTCGCTAGGAATCTGTAAATGGAAATAAAAAATTTATCTGTAGTAATACTAATGTTTGGTAGTAATGTCAGCGTGACTAAACGTAATGTATTTGTTTCAGTTCCATTAGCTAAAAAATCTTGGAAAGCACTGCGTCAGCAGTTCAAAAGTCATTACGACCGACTGCCTGCATGCAGATCTGGAGATCCAGCACCAGAAGAGACAGTGGAATGGCCGTATTTTAAATCTTTATTATTTTTAAAAGACATTTTTACACAAAGACCCTTGAGTGGCAATTTGGAGGATAATGGAACTGAAGTAAACGAAGAGTCTGAAAGTCAAAATCGTCAAATTGAAGCTGAAGACGATGACCTTGAGTCCATTAATGAAAATCTATCTTCTCCGAATACCCCGGCTTCACACACTTCACTAACCTCTTTATCCACACAATCAACAGGCACACCCACCCCTACTAAAGAGCTTCTAGGATATAGAAAACGAACTTTACCCATGGAAACAATAGGTAAAGGCCTGTTAACTATAGAGAGGGAGAAGTTGCAGATTAAAAAAGGGAAACAAATGGCAATGGAAAAAAGAGGCAATGATGAAGATGTAGCGTTCTTTACTTCACTACTTCCGCATGTGAAACAGTTACCAGCACAGGAGAAACTGGGATTTAGAATTAAGGTGCAACAGTTACTGTGGGACAGTTTGTATGGCACAAAACCCCTTCCTTCTTGCGATCCACATATTACTGCATCCACTCATCATTCCCAAGAATCCACATCTTCATTTCTACCTGCATCCTCTCTTCATTCCCAAGCATCCACATCTTCATTTCGACCTGCACCCACTCATCATTCCCAAGCATCCACATCGTCATTTCGACCTGCATCTACTCATCATTGCCAAGCATCCACATCTTCATTTCGACCTGCATCCTCATCTCCTTTAGTTGTACCACAACCCAGCTCACATTCCAATGCATCATTTACATTTCCTACAGAATCTACCCAATCTATAAATACGTCACAAATTCCTATTCAGAAGCAGACACTCGCTTTTGAGGGCAATAATTCTAGTGAAGTACAAACTTTTGTATATGAATTTGAATAAAAATATATTTAATTTCTTACCTGAGTGTTACTACTAATCTTTCTTCGGCGGATATTGGCTGGACATGAAAGTTACAGTAGTTTTTCTCAATTTTTGGTTCTATTTGTCGAAGAATGTAGATAAACGTTATTTGTGACATTCTTAAATAATCATAAAAACGATCTGGATAATGCTTAAGTTGCTGATATAATTTATAAAATTCACCCAGTTTCGTGCGCTCTCTCTGTACGGGATGTATATTCCACCTACGACTTCTTCCTCCAGTGGACGTTAACCACCACTTTACAGCAACACTAGATGAATCGCTATCACTTTCCGATTCGGATAACATATTTAGTACCGCTCTTAAACAGTTTCAGGTCTATACTACATGCAAGGTGAAATGCCTCGCTATGTTTTACCATGGCGAGTATGCAATTTGTGGCGATGTGCGCAGCGAGGTGCGTAGCAATGTGACTGGCGAGGTGCGATGCTCCACTATGTTTTTACACTAAGACTTTTCTTCGAGCTTACTGGAAACTATTGAACGATGTTAGAAATAACCTTTTATTTTGACAATACCTCTACAGTTTACCCTTCAAAACACCAACCTTGCACTCTACACGTCGAGAAAAGACATTGAAATTAAAAGTAGACGATTTCATTTCTTTTCAATTCAAGCTCCAATTTTAGTTCACCTAATTCGCCATCGAAGAGAAGTCGCCAGATTTCTCGTTACTTCATATAGAGGTCGCCACTAGCGTATTCAGGCATGTTAGTAAAACGGCCAAACAGTTGAGAGCATTTGATTTCAGTTCAAGCTACCATAAGTGCTCCTGATGAGAAATGCAGACTTCGAAACACGTGTAAAGCAATGGAGCTTGAAGTGAAAAGAAATGCAATCGTCATACTGAAAGAAGAGTACTCAGTATGACAAAACTAGTTCAAGAATGCATAAATGTCTTTTTATGTCTAAAATTTGTTATCATATATTAATATTATGCATAATATATAGCGCCAAACATATTTGGCGCTATATCAAGTGAAAGAAATAAAAAGTCAACGATGGTTAAAACCATTGTAAGGGGTCTATATCTAGTAGTAGGGCAATACAAAAAAGCTTTCTATACAAGTAGATGTACTCTAGTATCCCCTTTTTAATGTCTCATTATTTCCTTACATCTTCTCCCGTTTCCTTTTCTAATTTGTTCCCACCTAAATAATACAAAAGGAATAAAGCTTACAAAAAAAGTATTGTTATAACCATGATTATAGCGATTGGGCAAAAAAGAATAAAAACATAAGAAAATGGAGAAAATTATAATAAACACAGAATTGCAATCTACAAAGAAATAATGATGCAAATGATGTGGTCAATTTAAGAACTGAGTACTGTAAAATTTTGCTAAATTGGCTATTTAGGATTTATAAAGATACAATCCCTTCTGATAATACAGAGAAAGTTGAAGAAAAGAATAAATCGAGAAAAAACTTTTTGGCAAAACAACTCGTTTAAGGCATGTACATCTACGGAATACAGTACATGATACAATACTAACAAATCTTCAAGCATGGAAAACACCTTAAGAACTAAATAAACTTAAAACATGCTCGAAACAACACAAGAAGAATTGAATAAAAATGGATGAATGAGTAAAAATTGGTAAGAAAATTGAAAAACATAGATACACATTCAATACTAAAACAGAGTATAATTGACAAAAAATATACTACAAAAGACGAATACATATGACGAATCACATTTTTTGTTAAAAAAAAAACTTCTTTCGTCCTGGTAACTGAACAAATATTTCAGATTTAACATTTTCATATAATTTCTCATATTGTTTGTTTCCTTTCATACCCGTACCGATGCGCCTTTATGGTAATATTTCGAATTTGTATGCCTCACTTTCTCTTCATTTCTACCCTTCTCAAGTGGGAACATTAAAAATTCTCATGGCTCCACCACTGCGGAGCTGCACTGAATGCTAATGGTCTTCTGGGTAATCAGTTTTATTATCGATGTTTCTGGCGCTACACGGCATGTACCAAGTAGTAGTTTTTATAATTGATTAAAAAATTGAATACCATACAATGTCA